CCGCCCGCCTCTGTCCGGGCTTCATTAGTAACCTGATAATTCCCCGGCAAAGCCCCGGCAGCGGTTCCACCACGGAGTAATTGCAGGACGGTAACGTGAGCTGATGGCGGCCGGGGATGGATCCTCGCCCTTATTGATTTTGACAGCTAAATTGTTAACCGAGAGGGAAATCAGATGAAAGCCATTTTAGAATAAATACAAGACATTAGGTTTAAACATTGAGGTTTCAAAAAAGCCCAATAAACCCCTCGGAAACTCTACCCACGGCCCACCAGCTCGTCCTCCCCTCTGTCCTTAGCAATGCAGAGGGACAGGGGACCTGGACAAGTGTGGAGGAGTGGGACAGAGAAAGGACAATTTAAACCACCCGTCCATGCTGGCAGGGTCTGAATTAGCTCCGACTGCTCCAGCAGAAACACGTAGGAGTTTTCACGGCCACAGGCACGAACAGCTTGTCCCCCTCCACACAGTGTGGGCTCTGCCTGCACCCCAGGACCATGCGGGGCTGCAATGGCCAAGGACACAGCCCAGCAGCACGGAGGGGTCTCTAACCCTGACAGACCAGGCACTCCAGGGCCTGCAAAGTCCAACCAGGCTGAGGAACAGGGTGGCTGCAGCCCAGCTCCTGCCTCTCCCTGGCCTTCAGACCAAGTCCTGGCCCTGGAGGCAGCTGCTCTCCTGCTCTGGCTACCTGCACACAGCTCTTGGGGAGTTACTGAGCACTGGCACCACCCTCATCCACTTCCTTACCCTCCATGTATCCCCCCCACTGCTGGAGTTCCTACAAGGCAGGGACCAGGATGCATCACCAAGCCCCAGCAGAATCCTGGAATTTAGGGTGGGGGCTGGTATGTGCTCCCCATGAGCAGAGACATGACTTGGTACCTGTTCAAAGTGAGGGAGTCACCATAGGCAGGAAGATTGTTGAGGAAAAACCCACACCCTGGCCAAGCTGAACATTGTCCTTCAGACCCCACTGCGCTCCCAGGGCTTTGCTGGAAATATAGGGAAAGCAAGAAGTTCCTAAGAGGGACAGAATCAAATACCAAAGGTAAAAACCAGCCCCCAGACTCCTTCTGAGCAGAGCAGGCCACCCAGCCCAGCTGTGTCCCACCACCAGCATGACAACCTCTGTACTCACGCTTCAGAGCCAGCACATCCCCCGAGGCGCTGCCACGCTCCAGGCCTGCTCTGTGACCGTCAAGATGCCAAGCCCCAGAGCTGGCCCTGACAGATGTTCCTGAGCATTCACCTCCTTCCACCTTCAAGGCTGGAAACTCCCAGGTTTTGCTGTGCCAGCTGCCCAAGAGGTGCAGAGCCTTTGGGAAGCCACAGCATTCCTGGGAAGTGCAGGCAGGAGCGCCTGCCAGGCTGGCGGGAATGACTGGCACAAACACCGACCTGCAATAAAGCTCCCCCAGGTCTGGGTCTGGCTGAAGGGCAGACAAGGCACTTCTGTCAGTGCCCGTGGCAGGGCAAAAAAAAATAATTAAAAAGGAGACTACAGCTATTGTACCCAGATCTGTATCACTCTGCTCCGGCCCATGCCAAGCATCTACCACCCTCACTTCCTGCTTGCCACCCTCGCTTTCCTGGAGGAAAACATGCATTTTAAATGTTTATTTAGAGCCGTAAGAATTTCAACAAATTGCATCTAAATACAAACAGATATCAAAGGATGCTGCTGGCAGGAACACGGCCACATGCCTGATTTGAATCTATGTATTTTCCAAATTCCTAATAGAAGTAGAATTGGTTGCTTTTCTAAATAGCCCAGGTCCAGATCCAGAGGACTACTAACTTTTGACCACGGAAGAACAACGCACGGGCTGTTCACAGAGGAATGTAAATGGGTGTTACTGACATTCAGAGGGGTGCAAGCTTCCAAGGATATGACTTTTCTTGTTACTCAGGTACCCAAAACCTAGAAAGCAAATATTTAACAGCACAAGACCTCCTTTTGAACTATTCAGGATTTTAACAATCCATCCCAACAAACACAGATCTCTTGCCAATGCCTGGTTTGGAAACATGAAGCTCTGCCTGGAGGTGGGTGCATCACTGTAGGACACAAACCTCACTTTGTTACACCGGGGAGCAACCCCTGCATGCAGTAACCAGGGGCTGCTTAAAAGTCATCTTCCTGCTCTTGCTTGAGACCAACTGCTGACCAGCTTGGGGAAGCAACTCCAGTGTGACCAACAAGGTTAATATTCACCATAGAAAGGGCTGGAGAGAACAGATATTAACACCAGCAGAGCCACATCCCCTGGGCCCGAGTGCACAGGCGCCTCAACACCCCCTGCACACACAGCGCTGCGCCTGCTGAGGACAACATGCTGCCAGACAAGGCTCCTTCCTCAGATTTCTATTTTGCAGTAGCATTTAGGGAGAAGAACGTGTTGCAGACCAAATGGTTTAAGTGAAATAAATGGTGGTAAACCAGGCACGTGGTGCAGACAGCCCCCAGCACACCACAGAACCCTTCACCTCCTCACACCGAGACACAAGCAACTGCCTTTGCCAGCCCCTGCAAAGCAGAGCTGGAGCAGTCGGTGGGAGCTGCCCAGGTTGTGTGCCCGACAGATGTTTGAGGCTGCAGTGCTCTTCTCACACTGCACATTTGGTTTAGGAGGAGCTCCAGTGAAGGCAAACACAAGATGTGGTACTGCACAGACCTTGGTGGTGTGTCAGCTCCTACGTGGAGACACGTACCCACAGCCTTAAGGACAGGGAAAATACCTGTGCTGGGTCATAGCTTGTCTTCAGGTTACTGTGACAAACACCTACCTGGAAGTTTGAAATCAAAATGCAAAATAAACTTGGTTTGGTGCATATAAAACACAGCATGCACAGTTACTAAAAGTATTGCAAAATCTATTTAAAATGAGTTTTATTGAGATGAAAAAGTTTTCCATGGTAACTACAGAATGTTAATTACAACCAAGTGCTTCCCCTCCATTAAAAACACAAATTGGAATATGTTTTGTTCAAAAATACTTTAAAAAGTAATCAGTTAAATGGAGTATTTTTGGATGTGCTTTACTCCACACACTGGTTACTGTTTCTAATCTTGCTAATGAATGCACACTAACGAGAGGTTGTCTGCGTGTTCATCAGAGGCTCTGAAGGGAACCTACTTCTCTGAACAGTGTTCAGCTGTGGAGCCAGCCTGGCAGGAAGGAGAGCTCAGCAGAGCACCTGAGCTGCCCCACCGCAGCGTGCCAGGGACAGCCCTGCCACAGCCTCCATCTCACCCTACAAAGTACAAAAGCATCGGAGGGCCCTGGCTACACAAAGCAGTGTTTTTCTTGCTACCATTCATAAGCATCATCTTCTGGATTTCCAGGCAGCTCTGGAATAAGGAGCAGTCCTTTTCTTATCCGGTGGTTTGAAGTAAGAATAAACAGGTGCTGCCGCGTACTCGGCATCTGGATTTTCTGCCATCATTTTCAGCTTGGCTTCGATGGCCTTTATTTTTGCACTGACACTGGAAAGAGGAAAAACAGAGCAGAAATTGAGCTTGATCTTCAAGTGGAATCAGACTACAGCAACCCAGAGGTTTTGCTGACATGTGAACACTCAGTCACACAAGGAGGGGCCAGGCAGCCCCCACTGCCATGCGGGCAGGATCTGCTGCATAAAGGCCACACGGTTTCATGTCAACCCTCAGCACAGAGTTGCTCCTCCAAGATCTGTCACAGCACCACCAAACACTGGTCTTTGCACCTAACTCAGCAGTTTCTCGAGGACACTGAGTGAGACAAGTACACAAAAAGGCTTCCTACTTAATGTAAAATGATGTCATGTGAAGAGGTCTGAGCATGTGCAGCAGAGCAGCTCTGACCAGGCTGCTGAACAGCAGAGAAATGAAAGCCAGACTTCCTCCCAGCTACAAGACCGCTTGGGATGGGAAAACCCCAGACTCTAATTAGGTCAGGAAGAAACATTATTTCAGCATTAACAGGGTTTATCCCAAAGGGAGAAGCTATCCTAGGTTACACCCTAAATTCCTAGGACTTTTGTTACTCGCTATCCTCTGCTGGACTCTCTGGACTGAGGAAGGCTCCCTTCTCTGCTCTGGCTTCTTGCAGCTTCCATCCTCAATCAAAACTCCTTCATGTCACTGACCTAGCTAACCATCTGCACGACCCAGGTCTCTGCTCAGTATCTCCTAGCATGTTACTTCTGAATTCCAAACTCATTGTCTGTAGGCAAATTGATTATCCCTAGTTCTGGTTCCTTAGAGGGTTCCTCTGACAGGACACAGGAAAATCCCAAACCCTTTCAACCAAACTGAATTAGGGAAGCAGCACCATGTGCTTTAGGTGAATGGAGGGGCTGGACAATTCAACCACATCCCACAGAGACAAACCACCAGCCCTAATGCTGGCCAAAAAAAAAGTTTGATATGAAGGACTACCTGTGATTTTGTTTTAGTCTTTTGTCTCTATAATAGAAATTCTTGCTCATAAGAATTTTGTTTAATCTATGTAATACAAAACCTCTCACTGAAATTCACATGAAGAAACACAAAGCATATTCTGGCCAAAGAAGCTGGAACGTTGCACATTCCCAATTCCTCTCCTCACCTCTTTCCTTCCCACTGCCTTAATAGCTTCAAGTGTTAGAAAATAAACTCCCAGCCTGAGGAGTCTCACATCAACTGAGTTACTCTGCAGTAGGCTGCCTTTCTAAACCCAGCTCTTCTGTTCCATTTTTAGCACAAAGACAATGCCAACAACTCCAGATCTTGTAGCAGAAGTTAGTTCCCTGCCACCCCCACAGCTTGGTCACCTCTCACTCAACCCTCCTCCTACCTGAGGTTAGACTGGGGTGGCTCCGTGCTGGAAGATGGCTCCAGACTGATTGGAAGGATCTTCTCATTTTTATTGTGATCATATCTCTGTGAACAAGAGACGAAGGACTGAAGTCAGATGGACTTAAGAACAAAGACATGCTGGGCCACAGATAGGAATTATTTTTGTGTTGTTATGTCTTTCCATTCAGAGAGCAGACAATGCCATGCAGACTGAACTGATTATTGATGCAGGTTCTTCCCCATACTCTGGCCAGGCAAGCCCTGA